TCAGCAGTTCTGTTGAGCGCCTCATTCCGTGCCTGCTCAAGCCTAAGCTCATCCTGAGTCTTATTAATGGACTCAGCGGTGGCTTGGCTGTTTGCCTCGGACGCGTTTCTACGCTATTCGAGCAAAAACGCCTCGAATTGCTCCAACTGAGCAACATTTTGCCCAGGAGGACAATGCAAGAGGTTAACCAGGGCTTGTTCACCAAGTCCCTGCACCAAATGCTCTGCCACCTACCTCCCTATGATGTTGGGAGAGGTAAGTAAAATCACCCCAATCCACGTTGAGGGACATCCGTAGCCGCACGCACGCTCAGAGAGACGGGTCGTGGGAAGGACTACTAGTGCTACCAAGTGTAGACGGGCACTTTATGATGAAGCTGCCACGTACTACGCGGACACACCTTCAAGAAGCGCGAGGAAGCGGTTATACCGTCTTACCTCCGCGTGCGGTGCCCAAGTGGTAGGCCTAAGGTACCTCGTACCCATTTAGGCCTGCCCGTTAAGCTCTTGATACTGAACGAACCGTATAACTTATAGCCTGTTACAATTACTACATGAACTACAGCTTCCGCACTTGCTCTTCATTCTCCACCTGATCCTTTCTTGCTATCTTTCGTCTAAGACAAATTTTTATATCTACTTTCAGCGACTTAAGATTGACAGGATGGAGTATAGTGCTATGTAGAGTCGATCCGGGCTAGCACGGCAAATCTAGTCCAACCGATACGGCGCCAATGCTTGTCGATCCGACAGTTCTTCTTGCGTACCCACAGGAACCGTGAGTAAAATATTGGCACGATCCTGCTTCACAGACAGCACCTTCGCCTTCGACAGCTTCTGCTTTTTCGAGACCTGCTACCCTCATACTTAGACTAAAATACGAAGAGAATAGAATAACAAAATTATTTATAAATACAGAAGAACCTGTCTAAAATATTACTTTGAGGACATCAATGTTCGAATATAATATAGGGTTTATCATTTGAGACATATTTAAAATAATTGCTTGTCGCGGCTCAGGACTAAGTGTGCCTCTACGTAGACGATATGATGACAAGGATCACGTCGTCCACGTAAAGGCACACGTGCATGCAAATTGTCTTATGCCAGGTACTAGCTGCTTATGGTCGCAGATTGTCTGGTCCAGCTTGAACATCATATTTTGGCGTCTTCGATGCCCTATGGACTTCCATGTAGCTCGCTACTTGAAGACCACCGTTCAAAAGTGCTGTGTCCATGTCCAGCTACTCGGTCATGTATGCATTCGCCACCATCGCGAACATCACCAAGTTCATGGTAGTGACGAGCATATAGATCTCGAAGAAGTCCACGCCGACTTTATGCTTGAATAGATGTGATGTCAATGTCCGGGTTGTGACTTCGTCTATCTTGTCATTTAGCGAATCATCTCCCATGTCCAAGAGATGAAATTGTGTTGATCTATGGTGATATTCGATATGAATACAGGTATCGCAGCAAAGTGTATGCTGCGATACTTGTATTCATATCGAAGCTTATGCATCATGGTTGTGATGCGAATTTTGTCGTCAACTAATGCCTTAAGGTGACCTCGTCATTGCAGCTCCTCTGCAGTAGAGAACATAGGTTCCCACCCTTTACCACTTTGAAGTACGTAGACGGCAGTGAGCAAGCACCACAACACGCCAAGAAGACGCAAAAGCCTTACATAGTGCGACTCAGCCTCCGCAGAGAAGAGTCCAACTATTTCAAATCATTTTGCACGGCTGGAAGCAACAGACTTTCTCGCGATTGTAAACATTCTTGTCGACCTTACCAAGTCTTGCATAAACCCTTGCGATACTAACATCGTCGTTCCACAGTCCTGGCCAAAGATCATTTTTTTAAGTCGAAGCCAACACATCACTTCCTACAACTGTGCTTACAGCTCCTAAAATGGTAACGTGGTTGATATCTAAAAAGGATCAGCAAGCCGAAAGTGTTTGCTGTTGACGCAGGCCCAAGTATTTTGCTAGTTGGGGACGATCGAAATGAGCATGATGCTGCAGCGCTTGAGCTGCGGATGCTACGACTCGATTGATGAAGATATTGAGTACGTTCATTAGGAAGGTGATCTGGAAAAGCGGGCCTTGGTTGTAGTACAAGCGAAAGACGTATCATAAAACACTCCCTTCTCCGATGTCTTGGAGGTCTTACAGATATCTTTGCTAATGTCAAAGCTGGGAACATTAAACTCGTAGGAGCCAGGGACCGCTTGATTCGGGATACCATATTGCGCTCCTCATGTTTAACTCGAAACCTCGTGACAAAATCTTTGCGCACTTCGCTGGTGAATATCCGTCGTATATAGTCTCACAATACCCGCTAAGTGAGTATGCTGCCGATGCCGTAGCCGTGCAATGCACCGTCTAAAAATAAGTCAGAGGCCACGTAGGACTCCACTACACAGCTAAGAGCTCCAATGTATGACAGTTTGCCGCCCAGAATGCAGTAATCTTATGCACGCAGCGCCACGGTGCGCGCAAATTTCTACAAAGTCGAATTGAGGCTATACAGCACGCAAGTCTGCCGCTTTCTCTTCTTCACTGGTGCCATATATCTCGGCTTCAAGCTGACAATCATACTTCACCGGTCGCCAACAAAATAATACAAGGGGCGTGTTTTAAAATTTAGGTTCTACCTCGACCTTGTCAATGAACGTGTCATGATGACTATGATCTAAGCACTTTTACCTCACGCTTGATGAACAAGGAGCACCTATGAGCTCACGCAAATAGCGAAAGCCAATTTTTGCCGGGACGGCAGTCCTAGCGACTTACTTTCTACTGTTTAATCATAAGCGAGCGCCGTATTATCCAGAAGCTAAGATTAGGTACCATGCGGCCGCTGCATTATCACTTTGCTTGTGACTAGCACTATAAACGAAGAACTGACCCTCAGCATTTGCACATATAGCCGCACTTTCCATTTAAAAATTGTCTTTCGCGTCGTACGTTACATACACAATTGTTCTTACCTTCCCGCTTTAAGTCGAAAGCTAACTTCACGTCGTCACTTTTTACTCGTGCAGTGTTTCTTGAGCGTGGTCTGCCCATACTAGAGAGTACTAGATTACATCTGAGCTGGCGGCCAGTGCTATTCAACTCGATCAAACTTACACGAGACACAAGATGCTCTGTCAGTCTCGTCTGAATTTAGGACACCACGACGTAAGTAACACCGAAGGAGCAAGTGAGTCAAAGGCGGAATGTAGTAACATCAACGTTTTTTGTCCGCCGCTTACAACGCCGAACAAAAAATTGTGCCGGCGACGATAGGCTGTTTGAATCATGGCTCGACGACTAAAACGCTATGGATATGGCCGGAACATGATGATTGCACAAGTTTCGAGTCATGTTGAGGTATCCTGGATTCCAGGATACCTCGAGCAAGTCCAACGTAGCTGCAATTACACGAAATAATCCAGGACCTGGATTACTTCGTGTGATTGCAGCTACGCTGGACTTGCGTGCGTGATAACAAACGCTTGAGCTAGAGCGAGCCACAAGTCGAAATGCGTCGTCGAGGTCCCGATACTATCGGCGATTAGTCGATGAGCCTATCCCGTCTTTGCGTTGGCTAGTTAGTAAAGAGTGCTGACTGATCGAACGTTCACCGCTTGAGCCTTCGATCGACGCGACGAGAATACTACGTCTATATGGACGTCATCGCTTATGCTGGGAAAATGAGTGGGTGAGCTTGCGAGGAGCTTCCAAATAAGAAGCCTTGTGGAGCGTGACGAACATAAGGACGAGCAGTTGACGCATTACTAGCGGCCCATGCGTTACTTACAACATCGTCTACTCAACCAAATCGATCCACATTGCTACTAACGTAATTTTTTCCTCGAGCGGGAAGTGCGTGCTTTCAATACTCTAGATATTCATCATGCACCGCTCGACAATGTCCCTTTAACGACAGGCACTTTCACTGCCGGTCGGAATCATCCTTTAGTCGGAGCAAGGTCCGACCTACGACTACTAACAAGTCGTGATGTAAACAGAGATTTGCCCCATGCTCTCTGGCTGATTTGACGTTGCAGCCTGAAGCAATTACATATGTTATGGACGCATTGAATACAGCGACCGGGGCCAACGGCGAATCGTTGGGGCGCTGGCAGAAAGTCAGAAACAGCAGCCAGGCATGCGTTGACGAATTGAACAGAGCCGCGGGGCGGAAGATGAAGTGCACAAGGCCGGACGGCAATACGCAACTTGTGGTTAAACCGGGCGTCACGGTCTCTCGTTTGCGAACATAGAGGAACGTCATTGAGCTCATGTGTGTGTAGTCAAATATACCATGGAATATAGGTGCATACGTCTGCGCGCCCTTCTCGCCAATTGAACTTGCCATAATGGCGCCATTGTACTGCATCGCTTGCGTAACAAGTCTGGCCTGCATGCACCGCCCTTTATTAGATTTTTTCACGACGGAATGTCTTCGAACGAAGGTAGCACTCGCCACACCATTCTGATTTGTCTGACGCCGCGACGGCCATTAACGGCAACAAAAATGTACGCAATGCGCACGGTCGATCGATCCATCGGTCGCTACGTCAAGTCGCGTCCAGGATTTAGCTGGAGTGAACGTTGAATTAACTGACATTCACATCGAATCCACGCTCTCTTTCTCGAAACAGTTGATATCGATCGATCGATCGCACCAAATGCCCAACTCAAGGCCAATTGCGGCTCCAACGATAAAAGTTTTGCAAAAGAGGCACGTAAGTTTTGCATGGTGCACAAAAACGCAAGTCGGCGCCAATGGCCGAGCAAAGAGAGGTATGATCATTTGAGATTTTCACTCTCACCCCCATCTACTTGTCCCGCGTAACACCGGAGCAAGAGATATAACCCGCACCAGTAGCTCTTCCCGTATCGGAATCCTACTACACTCACACCTCCAACGACTCAGCGTCGTATCTACCTCTCAAGCTCAGCATTAGCAACAGCTTTTACAGTCCAACTCGACGCGCATCATTTGATGAACGCGAGTACTATCCCTTCATTTATTACCCACTACGACCACCTCGCTACCCCGGGCTCTCCCTCCACCTCTCGCTACCCTGTGCTCCCACAGATTCAGCACTTGCATTCTCCTCTTAGCAAAGTCCTCGCTCGTCCAGGCGAGGAGCCCGCCAAGCTGTCCATGGCGCACGCTATGGCGGCCGACCGCTTCGACTCCGGCACGTCGAGCGACGACGATGGGAATGTGGGCCGCAGCAACGCCTATGCATACGACGGCACTACAGTCTCACCTTTTCGTAACTCGGACGAAGGAGAAGCGGTCAGTGGCATCGCGGCCATGAGTCTCAGCTTCATCATCAATGGCGAGATGAAGCAGGTGGACGATGACGATAGCAGCAGCAGTGCCTGTGGCAGCTTGCGTGGCGGGTTCGATCTCTCGTCCATGCTCAACACGGTGTGCGCCAAGCCCGACTGCTACCGCACCATTCGCGGACCGAGCGGCACGTTCTGCAAGTATCACAAGCAGGGTCGGTTCTGTCACGCCGAGGGCTGCGCGAAGAGCGCCAAGACCGGCGGCTTTTGCATCTCGCATGGAGGTGGTAAGCGCTGCGCACACCCGGATTGCAACAAAAGCGCGAAACAAGGTGGATTCTGCATTTCACACGGTGGAGGCAAGCGATGCCGCGAAGCAGCTTGCACCAAGTCGGCACTTGTGGGCGGTTTTTGCTCGGCTCACGGTGGCGGACGCAAGTGCAAAATGCCAGAGTGTACCAAGACAGCGCTTCTGGGGGGACTGTGCATTGCGCACGGTGGTGGCAAGCGCTGTCAGGTCGAACGTTGTTCCAAGAGTGCTGTGGGAGGCACTCTGTGCGTCTCACACGGTGGTGGCAAACGCTGCCAAGCTGAGGGTTGCAACAAGGGTGCCGTGCGGAACGGAGTCTGCATTCGCCATGGTGCCAAGCGTGACCATACTTCAGTGTCGCCCTAGACAGCCGAAGGCTTTCGTGAGCCACAAGGGCTGGTCAGACGAACCTCGATAAAGGATGTAATGTGGTTGCCATCGGAAGTGGCCGCAAAAACATTTGTTCACTCCACACTACCATCAAACTACTGCATTTGCATGTACCTAATGCGCCATTTTGCATTGCAAATGTTGCTTTGTCCATGTAGGGGTTGATTTTACGCGATGCTGAAGCTAGAAAGCTAGAAAGCCAGACAGATAACAACGATCCCAATTTGACAAACTAGGCATTTTGCTGCAGACACTTCATCCAATTGAAAATAGATCAACATCACATGGAGCGGTGTACTTGTTTGTATCGATGACTATCGGGTCGTCTTTGCGTTCAATTTCATAGGACCGCGACCAATTCAACCAAAGCGTTTGATGCGCAACTGGATCTTTTGCCGACAGAGAGGGTAGTGCGAGAGCAGCTCACCGCACTTCTCACACGTGTCGTGGGCGCATTGAAACACCACGTCCTTTTTTCTCTCCTCACAAATGGGGCACATCAATGCGTCTTGAAGTCGAGCAAGCTCTTCTTTAACTCGCGACGTGCAATCCTGCATCGTCGATTCGTTACGCGTATTGTCTGCAGAATTTAAAAGCGGCGCTGATGATGATGTCGTTTGCTCTTATTGCACCGTTGTCGTTGCAGTAGCTACATTATGAGTCTACTGCAACATGAGCTCGCTGAAGTCAAATTGTTGGCTGGTAGACGTTATTCATAGTAGAGGTGGTAGAATAACGTCTTTCTGTCAAATTTCGATCCATACCTTGTAAGGTCTGCAATCCAAATACTGCATCCCTTGATCACTTGATATTGATCACGTATTTTCACATGTGATACTCTAGGAAAAAAAGAAGGTATCAACCTTCCGGTGTAAAAGATAATTGTCAAAAAAATCATCGACTCCCATGACCCATCACGTACATTGACCATTACAATACTCGATAGAAAATTACTGACATGAGTGATGGCATCGATCGTTTTCTTGCTCACTGTATTGAGGTAAAATATCCATCGATCTTGTAACTTGTCCATTGACAATAATCAAAAAAGATATAATAATCTCTTGTACGATTGACAATATTAATTGCCTCGTTACTAAGAGCTGGAAAAGATGTAGAACCTGCTATGACGACATGCTGCATTACTTCTCGATACCACAAGCGACGATATTCTTGTAAAAAAATAGTAAATACTGCACGGTCGCACGTCAGCTCATCTCTAAAAACGTCAGTTTGTCACTTTGCTCATTGGATTTTGTACCTAAAACATACTATTAGCATGTGAGATATTATTCAGCGGATTTTATTTCAATTTTTGATTTTTTAAGTCATATACAGTCGATGCCAACGATGAGATTATAACTCTCAAGACGCAAGGCTTGCGTCACTTGTGGAAGCGTTGTGAATAGATCCGGGATCGTTGCGTCAAGAATGTCAGAGACCGATGGCCGAACGCCGACCAGTCTGCGTGTTGGACTGTGACCGTCGTCACAGCTGCTTGGTGGATGAATTGCCCAAGAATTAAGAGCAAATGACACTGGATTTTATCTTGATTTTCCTCGGATCGTTTTTTGAATAATTTGTAGTACGCATTGCGGTGTATACAAATAGAAGTCTTGACGGATTTAGTCTTGACGAGATAAACAAACTCCTTACTTACATACTCTGGTCAAAAGTACTTGATACAAGTCCGAGAACAATGTAGCAATGGAATAGTATATGTTACCAGTGCCAAGCAACCCAAATGTATACAGTATTAATATTGAACTTCTCCTGCTTCAGCAATAGCGAAAAAGGTCACTAGCAGGCTACTTTATCTCCGCTGCAAGTGACCTTCTCCCACTAACGCTGAATCTTGCAGCTATACTCGCTGCGTCATCGTCCTTATCCTGAAAGCTCTAGCCGTTTACACAACCTGATCAATATTCTCAGGTATGCCGATATTGCGTTCGTCTCACAATTTCAGTCCTTTGCAAAGTTTCTAATTCCGGATCTGATCGGATCCCGATAATTGGTTTTCTACAACGTGTACAGGAACCACTTCGCTTTGCTCTTGAGGCTGGAAGCCACATGCATTTATACCTAGTTCTTTAGCCAACGAAAAAACACACCGCGTTCCACAATTTTCCTTCTCAACAACGTCATCGCTCATTAAATCCCCTCTGTATATGTGTGTTGTCCATTCTTGACACTGACTGCCTCCAAAGAACTCTCCATCTACAGCATGGCCGCAGGGTCTATAGCATGTGCCAATTGCTGCTGCTCCGCGTCAGATTTAAGTTGAGGTTGACGGTATGTCTGCTCGTCAGCTGCCAGCTGTTCTCGTAGCAATTTCTTCTTTTGATGACGATCCTTGCGCTTTTTCCGTTCATCAAACACCTCAATACCTACAAGGCCAAGCTCACAGAGTCCAATAAGAATCGCACTACGGAGTTTAGGGCCCGAGTAGAGCGTCATCTTGAGCACCGATTTCAGGACAAAAGCATAGAAGACAGCGACAATTAATGACGCTAACATGAGATTGTACTTGTAATTCCGCGCCTTGCGCAGACGCTTGATCTCCCAGCAAAAGAAGAACTTGGCAAAATAGACGAGGATCCACGCAAAAGCGCACGGTGTCGGGTAGAAAATGTAAATCCATTGCAACAGCCGCAGATTCTCGTCTAATTGGCCCTGCGTGTACTTACTGGCCACAAAGCGTGCAGCATGTGTCGTACCGGCACCCACGTCAAAGAAAGCCACGACCACGGCAAAGATGGCAAAGAACGTTAGCGATGCGTACATCCATCGATAGAAGCGTTTCTGATGCACAAATCCCCAGTATCCGTCCGATATCGTCAACATTTTACGGATTGCGCGGCGTTTGCTCATAATGACCCAATGCCAGTGCAAGACGTCACAACAAATGACCGGGTTTCGTGTATTCAGCACGGACGGCAAATACCGGTACACTGAATAGTAATGTAGTTATATTACTCTCAAAAAATAATATTACAAAGCGTCAACTTAGAAATAGTAGTACATTAAAAATATAATTTATTAAAATATTTCGCCGCTCGTCATAAAATATGCGACTAGCCCTTCATACTGAGACTATAAATGACACATAGCATGGGAAGTCTAATGTTACAAACACCTATGGCTGACAACTGCAGTAGACTCTAGCTGCTTTACTTGAGCGGTATGTGCATGATGGCAAGCGTTGCTAACGCAGTATAAGATTCACAAGAGGCGACATCTGTGAATGCCACTATGCCTGTAGTCTTTTCACCATGGCTATACCGTACTTTTGCATGTACAAAATGTACAAAGTGACGATCTGACGAATCAGGTTGCTCTAGTGCACATTCTGAGCACAAAATTTAACAGCTTAGAAAATTATACCTCGAAATGAAATAGCTGCAAAATATATTTTTGATTATTTCAAAATCAATATTATGTATCATTTTTTTGCACACTAAGTTCGGCACGCTTAAAACGCTGCTAAGTACGTATGACATCACATACTATAGGCTAACAACATCACTGTTTTTTGCAGGTCAATTTTCCGGTGGCTGTCATTACAAGAGCATTCTAATGGCCAACCGCGTGCTTGAAATGCTAGCACCCCTGCACTTTGTGCTGACCCTGTCTCCTCTGCATGTAAAGATCGCGCTGATTGTGGGCTTTCTAGTGCTATCTCGTCTGGCACTGCAGCTGCTGACGTCGCTCTACGCGTTCTTCCTCCGTCCAGCCAAGAACCTCAAGAGCTTTGGTCAATGGGGCGTGGTCACGGGCGCCACAGACGGTATCGGTAAGGCGCTGGCCATGGAGTTAGCGCGCAAGGGAATGAATGTGGTACTGATAAGTCGCACGCAGAGTCGTCTAGAGGAAGCACGTGCCGAGATATTGGCCAAGTATCCCAAGGTACAAGTGGAGATCTTGGCCGTGGACTTTAACCGTGTGGACGAGCCGAGCGTGCGTGAGGCACTGCAGAAGACACTTGACAAGGTCCAAGATGTTGGTGTCCTTTTCAACAACGTGGGCGTATCGTATGACTTTCCTGAATACTTTGATCGGCTGCCAGAAGACCGCGTGGACAGCCTCATTAAACTTAATGTGACCGCGGCTACAATCATGTCCAAAATGGTGCTTCCAGGCATGACACAACGCAAACGCGGCGTAATCGTGAACGTCAGCTCTGGATCGGGTCGTATGGTTGTGCCACTGCTTAGCGAGTACAGTGCTACTAAGAAGTACATTGAGCAGCTCACGCTGTGCCTCGCGGCTGAGTACAGCGCCAAGAACGTGCACATCCAGTGCCACGTGCCCATGTTTGTGTCCACCAAGCTGGCCAAAATTCGCCACGCGAGCTTCATGGTTCCGTCCCCTGCGACGTACGCTCGCGCATCGGTTGCTCATTTAGGCTACGACACGCTCGTGTCACCCTATTGGCCACATGCTCTGCAGATTTGGCTGTACGAAAGCGCGCCTACGTGGCTACTGAGCAAGGTACGTGTTGCTGATCGCCGCCTAACCTCACTTACTCTCTTTGACTGACGACTTGTACATGACCGTGTTTCTATGTGTTTAGGGCGCCATGATGACCCACCTGTCGCTGCGTAAGCGCGCCCTCAAGAAGCTCGAGGCGAAGAAGAACCAATAGTGACATAAGAAGTTGGTCAGCACGTAGCTCGTCACGTAGCGATTCCCACTTATAAGCAAAACTACTATAACTAGAGTTTATCGTTGCACTGGAAATCATCGCTTCGACAGCACGTCTAGTAACGTAATGATGACGATTACCAACCAGTACCACCATCAGCAAATGATCGCACTTGAGGATACCTTTGTCACGATCTGGCCACTCTGTCACGGGAAGCAGCGAGACCCGGTCACTGACGCTGCATTATATGTCGACTGCTTCCTGCGCTGCGGAATCAGTATGAATCATAGACGCTCGAATGCTTTCTGGACTCCACCCATTAATTGACGGAGTCGATCGTTCTTGTTCCGATTGCGGTGGTGTTGATGTTGGTCATGCTGCCACTTTTTCCACCAACCAGTCATTCTGCCGTCAGACCGGCCACCTTCTCAATGCTTACTTATGATCATTCGAAACGCTCGGCACTATGGCCCATCTCCCTCTGCAGACTAGCCACTTTCTTTCTTCCTCGTTCGACGGCACGCTTGCGAAATAGAAACAAGTTGTTAAATTGAGCCACGTAGCGAGCGCCCGATTGTAGTGCTTTGGTGATTGGCTCAGATGCTCTGTAAAAAGCAGCTACCATGCACTCCCAAGAGCCGGACGACTCAAGAGCTCATCTCAGCAGCTTGGAACCAGCACAAATACAGACACAACCCCAAGAACATTTAAAACAATGGCCAACAGTAGGAAGAAAACTTTATTTTTACAGCAAAAATCGGCCTTGAAACGAAAGTGGTGGCGACTACGATGAGAATGGCAGCAGCTTGAGATCAAATTGACACACGTGGTGGCCGCTGTCAGCTGATCACGCCCTTTTGTATACGGTGTGAAAGGCAGGCGGGTGGACGGGGGTTTTCTGCAGGCCTATCCGTATGAGCAGCAGGCTTGATCGACTCCACCAAGAAGCGTAGGTATGACCAATCACTAGAGGGTTTACATGGATTTAGCCCTACCCCAGTCCGCCCCGAAGCGCACGCAATTCCAAATCTTAAACTGTAATCATCAATTATTAGGTACGAACATTACCCTGTTAGGTCCTGGTCTTTATTCTTCTTCACTTGATTAAACTATGATGTCGTACAATACGTACCTATGATATTCTATATCCTGTCACCTTTTATCATTTGATCAAAATACACCCCTACTTCTGTTCTCCACGTACTCTTAAATCTATCGCACGTGCTTGAAATCGACAAATGGGTTCCCTGTCGCCATAATTAAAAGCCACTGGCAATAAAAAAAAGTTGAAAACATTGTTGTTTTTCCTTTCAAGTGCGTACGTCACTTTGGGATTTTTTATTTTATCCGTCCGACTAAAAACGTCACGAGATATTATCCTCATATTATCTATCTACTTACAATGACCTATGAGGATCTTGGCGTCTCAAATGCCACTGAACCCGAACGTCTCGTGAACAACAAGGTCATTACACCCGTTTTATCACCAATTGAGTCGGAAGCAGCCGCTCTTCGTCGTCGTACATCCATCCCCAGCACGTTTTCTTTTGGTGGTGTGGACCACGTCATCCCCGCTGACGTCAGTCAACGTCGTTGGCGAAGCTTTGATGCTGCTGCGATTGTAAACAATGTTGCTGCGATTGTAAACAATGCCGCTGCGTCTTCAGCTCTTGAGATGTTGTCCCAACGTATTCAACATGAGAGTCAGCACGTACTCAAGCGGAAAGCACGACTGTCCAAACGTCGAGAGCTTTTACGCAGTGTCAGTTGTTGGCTCAGCTCTAGTCGACGTGATCAAGTTGCTTTGTTACAGATGCAGCTGGTAGCTGAAGTAGCAACAGGCAATCGGTCGTTGGCTGTACTTAGTGATATGCATACGGTACTCGCTCTCGATGAAGCGGATGAACTTCGTCATCGAGGAAGTTTTGCAGCGAGTCAGTCCTTATTGGACGGAATTGAACAATCGGAACGTGCATTGGCTGAAGATTGGCTACGACAAGTACTGCAATTACAAGCTCATTATCTTGCTAAGCTTGTGGAACTTCACAGGCAGAAAAATATCGTGTCAAACAGTTTGACACTTGAGCAATTGCTTCTTCAAGTGGATAATGTCAAGTCAGCTACAGATGAACCGACACTTGCTTTTGTACGTTTTGAAAAGCTTCTGAGTCGTCAGAAATTGCTCAAGCCAGAGCTTAAGAAAGCACTGGACAAGCTCTGCTTGGATACGATGCGGTCTTTTACACGTGCTAGCAGCCAACCAGGACCCAAGACGGTTTTTGACGATAGAGAACCACGTGATGTCATGCAATCGCTCGTCTTGGAGATTGTCAATGCTGTTGCTAAGGAAGCCAAGCTGGATACGAATCAAATGCCAGCACTACTGGTGTTTGTGGAGCACATGGTCTTTAGTCGCCTTGCATGTGCGTGCTATCGTGGCACAGCTGCTGATCTGGATGAGCTTAATAGTTCATGGCGTGACCAGGCAGCTAAAATTCGCACACTGAGTCTGGAAGAAGTTGGCTTGCCCGTGGAAATTCCTGTAAAAGCTCAGCAGCAAGAGCTTTTTAGCAAATCTATTGCTGCGTTCAACAAAATCCCGCACCTCGTGCCTTCTAGTGTGCTGGCGTCGTTCATGCGTGCTGTGTGTACGTTGTATTGTGAGGCCAAGGAAGAATTTGGCCTGGACAGCAGCTGCATTTCGGCTGATGTATTACTGCCATTGTTGGTGTACGTGTTGAGCCGCTGCGAGCTGCCGCACTTGCACTCGCAGGTGTATTTGATGGAGCAATACGCCATTGATGAATCCCAGAGTGGCTCAGAAGCTGCTTACTATTTGGCGTGCTTGCAGGCTGCAATGGGCTACATCGTGGGCAATGGAGTTGTTGAGGTCACTGAGTCTCAGTAAAGAAGCTCAAAGGGGTTATAGTCATTGATGTATAGAAGTTGTGAGTTTATTTGTCAAGAAGAGAACTTATTTATCTAAGAAAGTATGTAACAATACAAACGAGTCTTGAATCGATAAGTGGTGCTTGATCAATCTGTCTATTGATTCGGGTCTGTCGTTATTGGAGCGAGTCGATCCAATGCCGCACATTAGCGATTGAGCTCTCTAAGTCTGGATGTGAAACAAACAGCAGGAGTGCATTAGCTACATATAGTACCATCACCACATTTCAAAGCTGCTAGAATAATAACTCACTGACTGCTCCACAGCGCTGTAACCAACGGGATTCAAGCAAGGTATCGGCTGATGCGCGGTCTAGCGGATTCTTTTGCAGACATTGATGCAGGAATGCACAAAAATCTTGCGAGAAATCTTGCGGTGAAAGAGCAGGTGGCGGTGCTTCCAGTACGCTCTGCAGCATATCGATGCATGTTTTGTCGTTCGGATACGGATAGACACCCGTGGCAGCCTCCATAAGCACGAGACCAAGACTCCACGTGTCTGAGCTATAGCTGTACTGCGTGTGCTGAATCCGCTCGGGGGACATGTAACGAAAGGTACCTACAAAAGTGCCGCACATAGCTACAAGGAACAAGCTAGCAAGGTCAGACATGCAGTCGAACCTGCAAGTAAACTAATTAACCACAGTACCCATTGAGTTGCCGAGTTCGGTGGCGATGCCGAAGTCTGAAAGCTTGACTTGACCCTGGCTGTTGAGCAAAATATTTGGCGGTTTGATGTCGCGATGTACGCATTTGTTGGTCTTCAGATACGATAGTGCGTGGAGGATCTGGTAGGCTACACTGGCTAGGACGTGCTCCGGAATCGTACCAAGCTGATGAATGACGTTTTCTAATGACCCACCGTCCATGTATTCGAGAGCAAGCACTACCGCTCCGTCACGGACGAATGCACCGAAGAAGGTGACAAGACATGGGCATTTCGCATCGAAAAGCGCGTTGATCTCTCGGATAATCTGTTCACGTTTGATTTTGTCGTACATGTTGATCATCTTGAGAGCCAACGGCGTGTTAGTGGGTCGATGACGGGAACGTAGCACACAGCCACTAGCTCCTCGTCCAATGACTTTTCCATCCCATTCCAGTTCCTCTGGTACGACACTGAAAGCGCGACCGGTTCCTTTACGGACGACTCCAGTCGAAGTGATGGCATATTTGCCTTTGACGTAAGCACCGGCATCGGCGATAAAAGAGTTCTCGAGACTGTCCATGATCCGATGCAGAAAAAAGCTTGAAAGACCAGGAGGTGTGTGATGGAGCGGGTGATCGAGATCTGATGATGCCTTTTCCAGTGTTGTGAGAGATCAAGAAGACATCCGAGGACCGCCAAGTTGGCTGTCGCTGTCACAACACACGAGCTCCACTGGCCTCTTCGACGTTAATAAACGTTACGTGACCACGCAGAAGGAAGATCCAAGCGTTTGAGGACTGTTGAAACCGTATTATAACGTGCTAATGATGCGATGACAAGCATTCTCGTGACGTCCGTTTTGCATATGTGTGGTCAACAATGCACGTGTGAGGGCAAAAGCAAGTTGGTCCACTCGTTTAGAAGCGACGTGCCCAAACAAGGTTTCGCCTTTTGTGCAGACGGACTCTGCGCAGTAATTGTCTGTCATCGGTTTTTCACGATGAAGACGACATGGAGGTCAGATATCACTGACGCAACGAAGCTTACCGATTGTGCTTGAAAGAAGATAAGTGAAGGTGCACCGACATGCCAATATCTTAGAATGCGCCGACTTTGTGGGCTGATGCCCAGTTAAGTGTCGTCCAACAATCGGATCGTCGGCATCTCAGCGGTAGATGCCTCGACTTGTCATACTGGTGGTGATGTTTGCTGCTTTAAAGGAGGTGTCGCTTACTGCTTTTGCAAGACGTTCGACACATTACAGAGGCTTGCACCTGGTTCGATGCATTCCTCTTGATCTGCATTGAGCGAGCTTTACGAATGTATTCCTCAAGTCAATTGTCCATTCTGCCAGCGGTTACAGCTGCAGAGGCAGCTGAAGTTCCGACACAGACAGACAATTGAAGGCATGACTCCAGAGTTCACGAGCAGAGAGAGAGAGTTATTGAGGTCTTTATCGATATAACTCATGCATTGGTCACTGTCATCAAGAGTGATCTAGAGGAAGATATTTTGGTGGCGACGACTTCGTTTGTAGACGACATGGAGGTGCTCGTGGACTTTTGACCTTGTTGGGCTTCCAACAAACTGCTGCAAGTCGAAATCTCGACACTCCGTCAATGTCTGGCAGCATTTACGCAGCGTCATACAGCTACTGAACCACTTACGGTCAGTGCACGAGCATTCAGCAAACATTATGCGCAAAGTTCGAATGGCTGGTGGGGTGAGCTGAAAGGGAACGTACTGCCAAAAAAATGCATGTGCAGAGAGGAAAGTCCGTGAGTGGCTAAGAGCCACTGCAACGTAGAAGAATATTCACAGTCTTCCTCATGATCATGTGATCCAAGTAATTTCTACGACCTATCATGACTTCGCACTACATTCCGCGTCAAACAAGCGGTATACCAAGCAAACGGGTATCTGCATCTTAGAATCAGCGCTCGTTCCAAGTTCATGACTTCACGTTGTTTCGACCTGATCAATCGATGGCACTGATGATGCGCCTTGAACAACTAATTGTTACTAACAAGTAGTAATACTAACTGAGCTTCCAGCCGGACCTCACGACTACAGCGAGCAATACTGGGTCTCGTGTTACACTCCAGGATAGTGATAGAATTTTCTTGGCTGTGATGGGTGGTGTTGCTGCGGTTGATTGAATGTTCCTCCATACGGACGACGCGGGGCAGATGATGCTGAGCCGTTATCATATAAAGGTCGCTGTGTTGGGTCTTGAGTTTGCTGGTATTGTGCAAACGGACGCTGTTGTTGCTGAGGCTGCAATCTCGCATAATCGTAAAAAAGAGGCGTTGGCGCTTGCTGTGAAGGCTGGTAGTACTGTGAAGTGCTTCTCGCCGATTGTCGAGCTAATGCCTCATCCTTGGTATTTGGCCCAGCAGCGGCATTCCACAATCTCATATCTCCATCATCTTCTGAGCCAGAGCTGCGTCTTCGGCCTCATGTTGTCTCATTTCTTCGTCAGCGGCCAAATTCATCTCTAGCTCGCGTTTTTCAAATTCGCGCGCGGAACAATGGTCCTCTACCGTTTGATGTAACTGCGCGATTCGAGTACTAAGCTCATCGTAAAACTTTTTTTTCTTCGACGTGCGAATGAAGCTGTTCGAAAACGTCAGCACCATCGTTCAAATATTGAAGAAACGTTTGACGCTCGCGCAGCACATGACTGATCTCTTTCTTTGCTTCAAAACGAGCGTTGGCCTTTACTATCTCTTGGAGCATATAGCGCTCCAATTTACATATAGAAGAAATTCTCCTCTCAAATTCATCGCATAAAGACTGCTTTTCGGCTTCGAATGCAGTATCGGTAAAGACGGCGCCAGCATTTTTCCCACTCAGTAGCTCAGGAAGAGCGTCAAAATTGTTGTAAGAATGTCTAAAATCATATAAGACGTGGTGTTTTTCCTGCACATGTCGTTCAAGGTGCGAAAACAGCGAAGACACACATGCTATCTCTTCCTTACAGCTGAAGTTGTTTTGCTGTAACTCTGGCAACTCATGATCAAGACTTGCCTTATCCCGCGACAATGCCTCCGACTTTTCCTGGTTTTCATTGAGCTTATCTCGAGCCGTACGATCGGATGTTTTTGCCTCCCTCACCAAACTGAAACACCGATACATGTCTGCTCGAAATTTTCGATTGAATGAAGAGGACAGAGGACGAGCCCACTTTTTATCACCGTAATTTTGTCGGCACACGTCGTCCTCAACTTGTTCTTGGTTTAGGCGTGACTTGATCAGGTGTAGTTTCTTCTCCTGAAGGGTATTAAGAAGTCCCTGAGCGACCGACTGGGCCTTCTCGTGGCCACAAAGTAGCTCCACAAGCTTCACTCCCATGGCCATAGCAGTACCTGGACCTTGGCTAGTCACACACTTGCCATTCACGACAACATTCTCGTGTTTATAGTCCACTCCCGTCATTTTAGACTCAAAGCTCGGGTAACTCGTGGCTGGACCAGAAGGAAGTAGTCCGTGCGTGTGCAGCACGACAGCTGGAGCGGCACAAATAGCACCGTACAATTTGTTGTCTTCCTTTTGCTTTTGCAGCAGAGCTACTACCTCTTTCGAATCACGAAGGTGCTCGGCACCAGGCATACCCTGTAGTATCAATAGTCATATATTATTACAAAATAGTAATACATCATACACATAGTAGTACGACTAAAAATAGTACTTCGAAACGTACGCCCGGACACACGACGAGGTCGAAGTTCTTGCCGGTGCATTCTTCAATGGCTACATCTCCTTGCACCTTGACACCACGTGACATCGTAACGATATTCTGTGGCTTATTGCCGACAGTGGCTAGCGTTACTTGGACGCCGCCGCGCGTCAACACATCGGCCAGAGTAATGGCTTCGATCTCTTCCGAGCCGTCGGCCTGTAGTAATCATACTTTAATTAGTATTTTGTAAGTACTAGTGTATAGATCTTTTACTTGAGCATACGATGGGGATCAAAGCAGTTGTCATGGAAGTAGAAAAGTGACGGAGGGGGAGACAGCGGGGACGAATGAGCTGCGCGAGACGAGAGAGATGCATACAGCGGTGAAAAAAATTATTTACATGGTTTTATCCAATCATCATCTTGTAGGTTGGTACAATGGCTACACTATACCGGTAATTTAGAAATGGTGCCAGTATACTATTTCTGCAACGGCTTCTGCACCAAAACGTGCCCCATCAGGCTATTGTCAAGTAAGTAGTAGAAACAGCAGACGAGCTACATGCATGAGTGTTAATTAGGTGACAACCTACGTGTTCATTCACCTGAGGCACAATCTCTTGCTGTGTAACTACAGTAAGCCTTGGCGAGCCAGATCCTCGTATGTCTTCCTATTGAGCACATTTCCTTCCGAGTCCTCGAATTCCTCCTCATTTGATGCATTCCAGCTTTCAGCATCAATTTGGTCTTTCAGCTTCTCGTACACTTTTCAGCAAGCAAGAAAGCATACAATTAGTGAGTTCCGGTGCAGAATAATAACGACAACACCAAGCAATACTTACGCTGGATGGCGTCTCTCATGAGTGTAATGTCGTGGAAGTGCTTCGTGTTTGGAATCTTCAGGCAGCGCATACCAAAGGCATGACGCCATTCCTGAAAGTGACGATCGAATGCACGTCGTCCCCAATAACTGTGATTACCACAGATTTCGCATTTGTACTCGACGCCAAGTCCGTGCAGCTTGTACAACCAATATGGAATCGGTTTTCCATCCCAACCTAGCGGTAAGTTCAACGGGTTGTAAAGCTGTTCTTCCTCATCCTCACCGTCCTCATTTTCATTCTCTACATCTACATCCGAAAACGCTCCTTCCTCTTCCTCTTCAATTTCGGCTTGGAGCTCTTCGTGTGTGCGTGTCTGCTTGAGTTCCAAGTATGAAATTGTACCCTGCACAACTTCCGTAAGGACTTCGTACATTCGACGGATTAATATCTCATCGAATGCAATGGCCTTCTGCTTCGTCTCCAGCTTCTTTTTAGTGTCCTTGCCTGTTTCGGCGCCGTTCGCAATTGCACCATTGCTTCTATCCCCTTCCGTAGCCTTTGCAGCAGCAGCAGCCGCAAACTTTTTGTGTTTCTTTCCTGTCAGGTGGCTTTTATACACACCCTCGGAGCTGAGCTGCTTATTGCAAAGTTCGCAAAAGTGTGCTGGAGTTTTGCCATCATCCACGCTGTCATTCTCATTATTCACGTCCCATCCAGTGACTTCGTGAAGTGCCCACTGCTTCTCAAACTTTGCAGAGGTTTCCTCAATCACGTCATCTAGGTCCACGAGAGGCTGCGTACGTTGGTAGAAATCCAATAAATACTCTTTCAAGTCCTTTAGATACTGCTGGAACGGCATCGACTGGGTTTTCTGTGCTGCTGGGATAGCTGAGAAGTCTGAGAATGACGCTAGATACGTCAGGTAGTCAATAGAAGTGGTAGTAGACTGCTTCTTTCCTCTTGTCTTGACACTCGAGCTCAACATTTCCTGTGTCTTCCGTACTTGCCTACAATACCCACCTGTTAGTAGTCAACACAACAGCACTGAGAACCAGTCTCTTTGCTTATACTCACCACTTGAACTCTGGTATGTTCAAAAACCGAAGGTAGAACTCATTTAGATCCACATATTTGCCGAAACGTTCTTCACCTGAGAACTGAACGTTCGGATGTAGAGCCTCCTCCCAATTTGGTTCATGAGAGACCACCGAGTTCGGATACTTCCGATGGAATGAACGAATCGACTTGAGTTGCTCATAGAACGTAGTAAACACTGCTCGTCCACGCATATTCTCCGTTTCTTCTGTAAAAATCCTGCCATAACAACAACAATAGTAGCAATAATAATCCAATACATCAGCCACAAAAAAACGTCCCTAATACAGCAACAGACAGCTATAAACGTACCCGTCTTCATCTTCATAGAGCTCTTTAACGTGCTTACTGTGCTGTGTCACCCCATCTAGCAATTTGCTCACCTTGTGGCCATGCAAAACTCGACTCCGATGCTGCAAGAATTCAGTACATTATAGTCTAAAATCATGCGTCGTCTAAGTATTTATTCAATGCAGTCGTACATTACGTGGTTTCTCGCCTAGTGTGGCTACAATAACACGCTCTAATGCTTCAATCTCTTCCTGCTCAGCACGTAGTTGCTCCAATACAGTAGACGACATAATTGGGAGCTATAATCGACTGCTGTCCTGCTAGTTCGGAAATAAATGAATACAATTTACGGTAGGACGGACGTGCAAGATGGCTACATCAACTATTCTTTTTTTACCAGGACACAGCACGTCCTAACTAATACGTCGTCGAGCTAGATTAATCGCTGTCGCTATCCAGTAAGCAGATAATATCCATGTCGTTTGGCTTTGCTCTGAGTTTTGAAGGTGGTCGTGCTTCACGTCGTTGTCGCTGGGGGTCGAACGGGTTATCGACATTGTGATTCCGAGACAATGAAGCCATTGAGTTTGCCAGATTTGATTCTGCTTGGTTGAGCAATTCTTGAAGAGGTAACACTGTCAGCGGTGTTGATGCAACTGTAGACGTCGGTGGGGGCATACTGTTCACAATGGTACTCGCAGGCACCGAATACATCCACGAAGACGAAGTACTTGCAGTGCTAGCCGACGTGCCATTTGAAGGAAACAGATTTTCATCCAACGGAAATGGAAAGTATTCGCCACAATTGCCATCGCTCCCACCGCTTGTTGTGCTCGTCGATGCAGGCATCACCGGGGTATCCCATACGTCGCTACCCACCGTTAATATATCAATATCGTCATCAAGCAGGATGGGAGTAGTAGACACAGCAGTGACACTTGGCGTGTTTCGTCTTGCTGTGTCCTCTTCAACCTCATCATCACTGGATAATAAATCAATCTCCACTGGTGCTGTTGAACTAAACCCAGCTGCTCCATTCAACGCGTCAGTGGGTGCCGCAGGTGCTCCACCAGAAATTGAGGTGACATCTGCTGGCAATGTACTAACTTCTGCTCGCTCCGCTTTGACTTTCTTGGCTGGAGGCTCTGACACTGATTCTTTTTCTAGCCTCCGTTTCCATGATCCATCGGGAAAGATTTCGACTTCCTCTAGTTCATCTTCACCTTCTACTTCAGTAAGAAGCTTCTTTAAATAAGGATCAATACGTAAATCTGCAGCCTTGATAAACTGAATAGGTCAAAATAGACAATACACACAAGAAAAACTTTAGTCATCGATCAGACAATCGGCAATACAAAAAATGGATGCTTGCTTACTTGATGGCACACTGTGCACCGCCACGCCTTCGACCGTGCTTTCTTGCTGAACAGCAAAAATGTTCTAAGATCAAAACACTGCAAATGTTTGCAGTGCAGGCCTCGGGCCGGCAGGTTAATCACACATAGACCCAATGGACAGCGAACCGACAGCATCGTAACGGTGGCAACAACATCGTCTTCATCTTCACTGCCAAATGAATTGATGACTTCTTGCTTTGCAATATCGTACGTCAGATGCTTCGATGCCTCTTTCACCTCATTCACGAGATCATTGATGTTGCACACCTCCACGATCTGTACCATGAATCCAAACACAGACGGGTTCTCGACACTTCGAATATCAACAACATTTCGGCCTGCGCGCGAGTACTGAAAGATGTTTGCTGGTAATTCTCGCAACACTTTGGAAGGATTCGCATGGCCAGGCGGAGCACGCTGCGTGATAGGCACACCGAAACCGTTCACGCTCAGCTGTGTAGATGCAGGCCAACAGTGTCCTGCACCAAGATCTTCTTTCACGGCAAAGCATCGCAGTTGCAGCTCCAAGGATCCTGGTGTCATTGATCCAGGTTGCGGGTCCCGCTTAACATACATATTGTTCAGGTCGTTGTCCGTGATGTAGTACTCAAGCCGAAAAGAGCTCGCAGACTTGGCAAAGCGCACAAAGTTTGGATCAACCACAGTCTTTTGCACCTTGTAAAACGGATCGTACGTCTTTGATCGACACATTTCACAGTACCACTCGCCACTCAACTGTATCAGGCACACAACAACAACACATAACACAACATGGTCGTTGTCAGCTCACGTATCAACACTTCTCAATCTCCATCCCCCAATTAAGCAGATCCACCCACCGTTACCAACTGGTGACACTTGGCATGTACAGCCAAGCCACAATCCACACACTTGATCACTTTCCCGGCTACTCCTTGCATTGTGCAGAAACATCTTGCACCGTCCAGTGCTGCGGCTTTTGTAGGATGATACAGATCGACGCCACTAGTGAGTGCAATGACCCCCGTACCAGCTGGAACTCCATTCACAGCTCCATATGTCACTGGTACATGAGGTGGTGCAATACGTCCATACACAGGGACAGGAATAGAGCGAGTTGGTGGTGTCGTTGGTGCGTAACAAGCCGCTACCTGTGGCGAACAATAGCTTACTGGCACGACCTGAGGTACAGGTGTATAACTTGTTCTTCCCCTTGTCTGGATCTCAATACTTCTCATACCAGACGACAGTCTCTCGGCGTAGAAAGGAGCCGATGTCGTACCTCGAGCTTTATCTGCAAAGTGCTAAAGCACGACAAGAAGAACATCGACACGTAACAAATGAGCTCTTACGAGTCAAAAGAGAGCTAGAAACAAGTAAAACGGACCTCCATCTCACTGGCAATACGGTCGACAAGCTCGGATTTGCGCCCCGAACGGGCCAAATTAAGGTCCATTAGAATATTACGCAGCTCTGGCATTCGGAGCATATTGAGACGCGTACGGAGGCCCCGCACTTGATGTTGGGTAATTGCATCAGTCATAATCGTATACAATATTTCTTCTTGATTTGTTGGTGGTGAGATGGTGCAGATCTTGTCCCGACGGCCTTATGTGCGTAAGCCTAAAAGCTTCTTCTCGCGCGTCCTTCAGACTCGGCGCATTGTTGGCATCGTGCGAAGCAACGTCCTTTGACATTGATAGATACCGTCTTTTAGTATTGTGATAGTGCCAAGTACTTACAATAAACAAGATGTCGCATCTGAAAATGAAATATGAAGTATTTTTGTACCTTGTTTTGACATTTGCTCAGTTTGCGATGTACTAGGTCCTAACAAAGAAGAACAAGGCGATAAATTTTCTTCTAGAGGAGGAATTTGGGTGTTATAAGGGCTTGATTCAGGTATATGAAGGTCTTTGTGTAATATACAGATGTAGCACTACCGTGTAGTGATTTTAGTGAGGGAAACACAGTCTTATAGCGATGAAAAGTGGCACTTTGGCAAGTTAGGAAAAATATACTAAGGACTTATGGGCAAATGTATTCCATTATGTCTCACGCAATGCAACGTATGGATAGAATGGCGCCAAAGGCCTACAAACCACGTCTAGACGATCGTTGACGGATGGCAAGGGGAGCGAACCAGCGATGGGCCTTAATCTCCTGCAGTGAAAGACGCCTCTCCGGAAGTTTTTGCAGGATCTGTTTCATCATATCAAGTGTGAAAAATCTCACGATACAAACAGTAAACGCACGATTTTGTCACGTCAAGTACATACTCGTGTGATGAGATCCTTTGCTGCTAACGACACCATAGGAGGCACGTGTAGCTGACCTTCGGTAATGAGCTCGATTGTCTCATTTTGCCCCTACAGTTGAGAGCGTTAGCGTAATGACAAAATATGAACATCTCGTTCGACATCATAGCGTACCGGTGCTTCAAATGGAGGCTTGCCCACCAAGAGCTCGTACATAATAATTCCAACAGCCCAAATATCCACCGATTCGTCATATTTTTCGCCCTAGATCACCATGTTGAAAATTTCAAGTCAGATTAGCGATACGTGTAGTACTCAAGAGGTGATTTCTAACACACTCGAATCATCTCCGGCGACAAGTAGTCTAAGGTGCCGCACAAGGTATCACGTCGATTGCTAAAAACACAAAAGCGTATCATTCGATCAACGTTTGAGGAGACATCAAGGTGTAGCAAAACGTGATACACTTACGCCGCGGTCACGTTGGCGGATGACCAGCCAAAATCGGCAAGCTGGATTGTACCCTAAACGACAATATGCCACGCAAAGTCAGCAACAACAAACAAGGCAGGAAACCCCCACAGCCTCACATACTTCATCAGATAAAAGAAGATTTTCGGGCTTGATGTCGCGATGAATTACGTGCTGATGATGGCACGACTCCAATGCGCTACAAATAAAAAAGCAACATCGAGTTGATTACAAGTGCAATCCATAACATCATCGCCTTTGCAATTCACATCGTACCTGACAAGCTGAGCGGTGTATAGCATGGCTTGACGTTCAGGAAATCTAGACAAAAAACAAATGGGAGCTTAGATCTACAGTAGCGAATTGGTGATAATGTAAGCAAACGTACCGCCGTCCGGGCATAGAGCGCATTTTCTTGAAGAGATCACCACCTCCTGCATACTTTAAAACCAGGTAGACTGGCATAAAGATTGCAAATGAAAACAAGAAGTGTAAGTTCGACGAAGACAGCAAGAGGAGTAACCACACGACATGTCCCCACCTCGTGTAGCATCCTGAAACGTGGCATACAGCGGCAGAATATTTTCGTGCCGAATGCGCGAGTGAATTTCCACTTCCTTACGCAGCTGGTGGGCCACACCCGCAGCTTTAAGTTGATCCTTCACTAACACTTTTAGCGCCACAACCATAAGCGAGGTTTTCTCACGCGCAAGGTACACTTGACCAAACTTTCCAGTTCCCAGTTCGCGGCCAATCTCGAAATCGTCCAAGCTCCAGGCTTTTGGCTCCTGACTATGTTGTTCCAGCACTCGTTGCTCTTGTTCCGGTTGGTCTTCGTAGTCCATCATTTCAATCGAAGCGGAGGGTGAAGTTGCATGTTCTACAAGACGCTGCTGTGGCGGTGGAGTTGGTGCACGCTGCTGCGTCCTAGTAGCAGCGTATCGAGGATGCGATCCCAAATTGGTCTGCAATCTGTTAGATGCACCTGTACCAGCATATGAAGACTGATGAGACACTGGTCTTGCTGCTGAAGTAGACGTAGCTGACTGGACTCTGTTTGTGCTGCTGCCGTATGTCGATTTCGTTGGTGCAGACGGAATTCTCGAAGCTTGGTGTCTACCAGTAGCACTACTGGCCGTCGGTCGAGCGTATGATGGTATTGACCCAGGTGCCGATCGAGGTGCCAATCGTGGCGCCTTTCGATGTGCCAGTGAAGAAGCCGTTGGCGCCATCAATCGGCCTGCAGAACATCCAAAGCGTGTTAGTAGTTTAAGTCTCTCTATACCTAAAAAGATGCTCCTAACGATGCTACAACGCACTGGTAGCAGGTGATCGATAGGTGGTTCCAGTAGTACATTCACGTAGTGCTTGTCGGTCCTGTCCGTACGTGGACGACGATGTGGAAGGCGCAGGTGATGGACGATGGAACCGTCCAGACGTGGCCGATGCGTCCTTCATATCAATATCTACAGACCCTGATGAATCTTCAACTCGATTGAAATTAGGACGTCGATTCTCGTCAGATTTCAAGCGAAAGGAGTTCGCACCGATCACGGGCGTACCAAAGCGTGAGTCCACGGCACTAGGCCGACTGTACATTTTGTGCGTCTTTCGATTGTTGTCAATTCGCGAAAGAAAACGTGATATTTGTGATCGATTTTGACAATTAAGAACCCGAATTTTTGCATTACAGCGTGCAATCATTTCATGACGAAATTCTAGAGCCAAGTTAGGAGACGGTACACTGTACCATCTTAGCAGCCGATGACGTCGCGTGTCGACAGAAAAAAGACAGCTGCGTCTTGTTCTCCTGTACCGAATGGTATTAATAGATACCTACGAGCTTTTTCGTATTTACCTTAAATGGCTAAAATAGCGTTATATAGCGCTATAATCCATTGATTAGAGTCTTCCGACATCATTTGACACGCATAAAAAAGAGTGAAGACGACGAGTGGTTCGTTCTCTTCATTGCCACTCGTTGCGTTGAGAGACAAAGGAAACGGACGTTCAGTGACCTGCACTTGATCGTCCTCTTCGTATGTGCGCAGACGCAGAGGCGTTGGTTCAACTGGCAGCCACGGGGTTGGCTGGTATCTTTGCCGGAGCATCCATTTACATTAGTGTGGCTCAGCATCCAGCGCTTATGGAGACGGACGCATTAATCTTCCAAGCCCCTTTCTTTCGTCGCATGTATTTCTATGCGGCACGCATGCAGGGTCCTATGGCAGTAGGCAGTGGATTCAGTGCACTGCTTGTATCGCTGCTGCAGAAGCAACGAGGACCACACGCTGGGATGCCGAAGCTCTGGCTCACAAGTGGCTGTCTTATCGGAGGCATCGTACCCTTTACTGCACTGAAGATGCTAGGGCTTAACTATAAACTTGTGGACTCGAAACGATGTGTGAATCGTGGTCAGTCGTGGATGCAGGAGATGCTACGGAGATGGGGTAAACTGCATGCGGTACGCGCTGGTGCGAGTGCACTGGCGTTTTCGGGAATGCTGGTGGCAATGGCGTGTGGAGGAGATAGAACACCAGCATCAGCTTTTAAAATTGTATAGAAGAAGAGGCAGAAGGAGGGTGGGTTAAGAACTGACTGGGAGACGACAATCGGCAGAAGATAGACATTTATCTCTTTTGGCCGAGAGAGGCGTCGATTACCTGGCATGGACATAATTAATCGATTACTATGGAGGTGCATGGATTTGTTTATGGTAAAACAAGAGACTGCACGACATTCCTCTTCGCTTTGACAAGCATTCGTAGCATTTTCGATTGGTGAAAAATCATGGAGCTGCGTCGCAGAGTGAACTTCAACTGGGAAAGGACAATTGGGGTCGCTAATAAAACAAGAGCTACACCTTCATTATTTAACAACTCAGGACCATAACAAAGAGCTGCGAAACAAGTGGCACTTGAGCTTTTTTGAGCTCTCAGCTTCAAGCAACAAGATATACTGCTTTGTTCATGGTAAGTCATTGACAATGAGTCAACTGAATTGCTTCCGGGTCAGAATGGTCTTTGTTGACTCTTGTTATCTTGCTGACTTTTCTCGGCTGTGTTGTTCACTCAGTGGGTTGTCGAAGAGCTCTGGTACTTACGACGACTCTTTGTTAAGAACGTCCGTCGTCTGCTGCACTTGCTGTCGACAACTGCCCGTAAAGCACGCGCTGAGATCGCAGCTTTACTGCACAAGTACTACAGCCTCCTGTTTGAGGACACACCCGTCAGAGTATACAAGGCCGTTGTCGACTTCAACAGGTGGCTCACGGAAGTGCTTGGGGATACACACTCAAAAAACATTGACTGGGGCCCGTCGTATGGTGGGCATTCCTGGCTTGCTCTGGAAGAGCAGCCACGTCACAGTCGAACACGTCAGTGGACTCTCGCTTTCGATAATGCCTCAACTGTTCAGCTGCTTCAGACAGCCTGTGAATACTACATGGTCCGTTGTGACCGCCTCGAAACAACAAACGCAAGTCTTGAGACGCAACAAGCTGAATTGAAGGCCCGACTGAAGGAAGCACTCACTCGTGCATTTGAAGCACAACAAGCCCTGCAACCGAAATCGAGTGATGAGCACCCCTTAAGTCTGAACCAGCAAAGAACAAGTGCGCTGAGCACCCTGGACACAATCAGTAAGACTCTACAGAAAAACACTGAAGAAACATCAGTGGGCGAATCGAATCCGGCGAGTGACTTGGATAGCGAGGTCGAAGACGCTTTAGCTGACTACGAAGACATCGAGTTGGAAGTAGCAACATTTGACAACCAAGACGAACTTCTGCCCTCGCTGCCGAGTGACGACATACATGAAGAACAAGAGATCTTTGAGCTGTCGATGGGGCAGCTGGAGCTGGATCCTGTGACTTCTTCCGTTGTCATGTGTGACCCAATCCATATCTCCTCTGATTCAGACTACGAGCAGCTCACCAAGTTGCGCTCAGATGAAGCAAACAGCGGTAGTTGGTACCGCCATGCACTGCGCATACTTAAGGAAGCACGCAAACTACGCTCGAAAACCCGTGCTACAGTTGGACAACCGTCCGTAACCAAGCTTACAGCGAGTGCGGTTTGCAAAGAAGCCGAAGCTCAAGAATTTACGCAACTCGTTTTCACTGGCAGCGACGATGAGGATTCGGCGTGGTATCGCAAAGCACTGCAACATCTCAAGAAAGAGCGCAAGCACCGCCTGAGCCTCCGCGATCGAGCTGAATCGTTCAGTTCCACCATTTCTCTTGTCGACTAGCTGTGACGTAGAGCAATACGACGATCTAAGAGCTGGTTCGATCCTTATCGATTTCCTAGCCGTGTATGTAATAATCACCTTCCACGCCCATGGCTATCACCAAAATATGCCCTAGTAATGAGGACATCTAAATCAACAACTTCTTGTCGCTCCAAAGCACCATGAAGTCTTTAAGCTCTACAACTAATTCTAAACCAAGAAGCCTTGAGTCAGGCTTACCACTGTCATGTCCATGGAAACGCTACTCGCGATCTTTCACGAGCATTCGTAACATATTCGAGCTGTTCTTGTCCCCATATATCGGTGCTCTATAGTCTTACAATACGGCAAACTAAAAGCACACAGAACTCAAAACGAGACTGCGGCTTGAGTATTTAATGCTGGCTGTTGGTGTTCTGCTACGTATTGCGAGGTGTCTACTTCACGCCGTCCTTACAGAAGACAAGAAGGGAGTCTAGTTAGTTTTGGGAGTGACTTTCGAGTGACCACTTTGCTCGTTCGTCGTGTCTTGATGCTTCTGAGCAGCAGCAGCACCACCACTGCCAAACACAGCACCACCAAAAGGCAAGAGCGGCACCACTTTATCACGGAACTGCCACCGCACGCGGTCCACAAGTCCCTCCACCGAATCCAGGGCTGGTCTCACGTCAAGATAAACACTCAAGGGACGACCAGGTTCAGGTTGGCCTGAGTAGAAATCAATCACATAACGCACCTCTTTGCCGTCTCGATCCACGATCCAATCATGTCGATCAAATGGCAGCACGGACCAGCCCAAGGTGTTCATAATCTTGGCCTTGGGACTATACTCGGTCGGTTTGCCCATAAACTTTTTCAGCTTTACGGGCTCTTTTGCTCTACAATTCAACAAAAACAATTTGTCAAGTATAAATTTCACCAATACTTTCAGCAAATACCGGTAACCATTTAACTTACGGATGAAAACTCTCCCATTTCAGTACTTCTTGCCAACTCTGTTCATTCACGGTATTATGAATGGCTACAATGGTCTTCATCTGCTCTGCATGTGGCGCCCAGCCCTTGCGCTTCATGGCCTTGAAATACATTTCTTCACTTGGATACTCCCACTTTTTCTCATTGGATCCTGATTGGTGTTCGGGTGTCAAATCTCCTTTAGGAATCGAAGATACAGCACGAGCTTGTGATAGCTGCACGACTGAGGAGTCTGAGACTGGACTAGTCACACGCATCATCTCGGCATTAAGACCCGAGTTTACTCCATTGATTGGACATGTAGCGTCGCTGCTATTCTTGCTTGTGCTGTGATCGACGGAACATCCCTTGGCTGGTGTCTTGTGCTTCGGATGCGGACAAGCTGCAGCCGCAGAATTCACGTCAGCCGTCATGACTAACCGCTGGATATAGAAGATAATAGCTGGATAAACAAGATAATAGCTGGATAATATGATAATGGCTACACGAAATTAAAAGACGTGGTAATTTATAGTTTTGCTGTAGCTTTTTCGAATTTTCAGGTTTTGAAAGGAGAAATTACGATCGTGTACGAATGTAGCCATGTTACTCGATTTTTCAGGTATATCTATCTATTGCTTGTCTGTCTGTGTCTTATGCTTCTTGTTGCTGCGTTGTAGTTGTTCCTGGCGTTTTACCTTGCGTGCTTGTACCTTATCATCAAAGCCACGCTCAGTCAGCTTCATCTTGGCGATACGTGAAGCGGTAGTCACGTCGTTGAGCAATTTGAGAACCTTTTTCTCGGGTGCCTCGTACTCGTAGTCATCCATTTTCTTGCCCACCTTGGCTTCGATGTTCTGTAGTAGCTCAATGTCATGCTGTGTCACCAGAGAGATAGCTTGACCGTTGCGTCCAGCACGAGCAGTACGACCCACTCGGTGAATGTAGTCATCGGCATCGCGTGGCAAGTCGAAGTTCATCACAATGTCGACCTCGGGGATGTCTAAACCACGACTCGCAACATCAGTGCTGATAAGGATGTGACTAAGACCACTCTTAAACTTGCCAAGAGCTGCAAGACGTCGGTTCTGTGACATCATCGAGTGCAACGTCACACACTTGATGTCCAGTTCATTGCCAATTTCACCCACCAGCTCGCACATCTTGCATGTGGACACAAAAATCATCATGGACCTAAGTTGATGTTTTGATGATGATGTTGTGGCTTCCAGCAGCTTTTCCCAATCCTGATGAGCCTTTTTGCCCTTGTTGCCCTTCGACGACTTTTTACGACTTCCCTGCTCCTCTTCCTCATCTTCCTCATTCGGGTCCAACATCTTCATCAAATACATGAGGTAAGTCATCTTGACCTGCGCCGGGATGAATAAATAAAACTGCTTCAGAGTCGCCACTGTCTTGATACTGGGTGTCGCATCAAAGCGGAATGCGTCATCTGAAAGCGCCGTTTGCTCCAACCTGTCCAAGTTTGCAGTCATCGTAGCAGAAAACAACAGCGTCTGTCGCTTGGCCGGTAACTTGTCGAATATATAGCTCAAATCCTTGGCAAACGTCACGTCCAATAGTCTGTCAGCCTCATCCAGCACCACGTACTTGACCAACGAGATATTCGGAGGCTCCACATGCATCAAGTGATCCCGAAATCGTCCAGGCGTAGCCACAATAATGTGCGGACGCTGCTGCAACTGCAGCGACTGCTTGAGCATGTCCACACCACCAACAATCACGGTGCAACGCACCGCCATAGAGCTACCAAAGGCATTGAACTGGTCTGCAATCTGAAAGGCCAGCTCCCGAGTAGGTGTCAATACGAGAGCATAAGGGCCGTACGGGTCTTTGCTCAGTGTGTGCAGGATCGGTAGTGCAAAGGCCGCCGTCTTACCACTACCAGTCTGAGCACATCCAATTACATCACGTCCAGCGAGAATAGAAGGAATACAATGAGCCTGTACAGGTGTAGGATGACGGATACCCATCAATTCACAGCGCTTGACCAGCCATGGGTCTACGCCGAGGTTCAGGAACGAAATAAGCACGTTAAACGCCGAGTCGGCATTTTTTACCAATACTTTGTCGTTTATAAACGTTTGCTTGACGATGGATTTTGCATCTGAATCCGAGTCAGATGACACCGCAGGCTTTACCTCTTCGCTGCTGGGTAGCCGACGACGACGCGTACCAAAGAGGACGCTCATACTTCGATGGTTTATGGCCAGTCAAACGACCTTGTTATTTTTAGGGTCATTATTTGTGAGAGCCTAAAATAATGTGACATGGACTTTTTCCAAGTGTTGCGTGAAGGTAGAATAGATATCAAATTTGTTAAAAGATGATACGGTGTGGGAATGAATAAAAAGTGCCGAGTAATTTGATGATCATTCCGTCGCATATTGCTCTACTAGTAATCTTTTTTTCTGGAGGAGATTAAACGATCTAAATTGTGTAAAACACGACCAATTACGCTATAGCATCGACGGATTGCACGAAGCTATGTCTCAACAATACAAGCTAGCAGCTTATAAGCAGCACTCGAAACTCTCAGCATGGTTTCAGTAAACGTCCTCTATCTGTCATTGGCGATAGCATAATTTACTTGGCGTGATAGCTTTGAGCTGATGCTGAACAAGCTTCAGCTCGCATGGAACCCCAGAGATTCAGGTACGGTCATCCTCTTGCCAGCAACCTCGTTGAGTATCTCCTAAGTCCACCGGTGGATTTTTTAACGCCCAATTAATTGCCAGGCGCATTGTTCTCAGCTGGAGCGGGCAACTTTCCCCTTATTGTCACTTGCCACTCTATCCGTTGCCCGTCGTTTTCCTGATAATACACCATTAGTGGAAAGCTTACATGTCAAAGCCGGCAGTACTATTTTCATCTTGCACTTCTTAAACGCTTTTAACGTTTGTGAGCTAAACCATTGGGAGTCTTGGGAGTATCGACGACCTCCACTGTGATGTCACTGTAGCTGCCGGAAGTCTTTCTTCGCAGAGCGTCACGAATGCGGTGCTCTGGATCGTTGTCACTTATGTTTTCATCCGACGTGATTCGGACGAAAAGTCCCTTTACTTGCCGCAAAATTCGGCTGCCTGCTGCTTCCGACTCGTCATCCGAGTTACTTCGTGTTTTCTGGTTACGGAGTTGCAGGCCCTGCGGGGTCAAGTAGATATCTCCAAAGAGCACCCACTGCTCCACGATGGCATGACTGGTAATCCATCCATCCACTGTCCTTGTCAACGGTACAGGCACCGCACCGCCCTTCGAGGCCATGAGGTCTTCCACGTGGTGGCGACCCACAATATACATGGCCACACACGCGCACACCAGTCCAAAAAACATCATTCCAGACGGAAAAGTGAAAGTTCCCCAATGGTAATTTACTTTCTCCAAGAGCATAAGCTCGCCACTGACACCTGCTACCAGAGCCAGTGTGTAGAGCACACTTGCTGCTAATTGCCACCGAGTGAGACGGTACATACCCGAAAACTCATTGTACAGTACAAGCAGCAGTGACCCCGCCATGAGTAGTTCAAAGACAAAGAGCGGTGTGAACACAATCCACCACGACATCGGCGGCTGCGTCATCTCTGGCATCTCCAGCCGACGTTGCCTGTCAGTTTGGTACGCCAGTAGCAATGTAAATACAAACAGCAGCATCCAGCACACTCCCTACAATGATAGTCACAAAAAAACGTTGCGTTACCATCACAATAATTGAAAAGATACTTTTTCTTTGCTTACCGGCAATGTACTGTCCGATCGGCAGAGTAGATATCTCACCACAAAGGCCACTTGGATTGCCATCAACGGTGCATAGCAGATATAAAGACTAGTGACCGTAGTATTCTGCAGACTAGCGCAAAAGGCCAGTTCGCTCCAGAACAGCAGCACTGTCAAAGGGAAGCTAATGGCGTAGACCAGCACGATCCGTCGCAACAATGGCAACAACGGCTCATTGGACATGGAATCAATATCAGCCCAACGCCGCAGTGTCTTTGCATGACGGACTGATGTTACATGCGCGTATATTATGGCAACATTAGCAAGCCAAAAGGGTAGAAAGACTAGCCACCAATTGACCCGTGGACCCAAAACGCCTTCAAAATTGAGCGACACAAGCGCCACTCCCACGATACAACCCAATGAGTACAGTAACACTCCATTTAAAAGCGCAGCTAGTGCTTTTTCTGCAAAGACCAGTGGCTGGAACTGACCATTGTCGGAGAGACGGCCATTGTCGCTTCCAGGCGCTGGGATCGACATGTAGGCGTCCTCGAAGGACGTTGAATCTCCCATTGCACGCAACAACGGAGAGCGTTCACTCAATGTACTACTACTTGATGCACGAGGAAGCGTGTCGGAGCCTCCGTGGCTCATCATCATGTCTAGAGGTCGAATCATCCAGGGGAAGAATCGATGAATGAGCTGCGAGGATGGAGTGAGGGACGGTTGATTGCAGGATAGACGGGGTATGTTATTATAAAGGACAAAGTTAGCTAAAGTTGTGGTCATGATAAAACCTAATTTTTAGTAATGTATTGTCCGAGGTAAACGGAGATTGAGTGCGACTTGACAAGCGACATGAATTAACCAAAGGTCAACTTCTACCAAATCTCGTATGAAATGTAGCCATGTTGGTGCTGGATGTTGATTACTGTTGTTAAAGCACTTGGGTTGTAGAAAGCAAAATGCAAAGTGAATATATTTAGGTCCTTAGTTCACTAACTCTGTTGCTACTCTAAGCCTACTGGATTCTTCGACTACACGTTTCTAATCGCTATATCGCGCATTACTCATGGGATAGCCGCACATGAGTAATCTACTCTACACACATGACTCATCAGATAGTCACTCATGAGTAATCCACGCTAGTGGCATTACTCATGGGATAGGCGCACACCTAACTAATCAGACCGTACATTCTTGTGGTTGTCGTTTGCATGCCGAGTCGCTTCTTTTACAACACTCCCACTCGACTCGGTAGCGACACCGACAGTGATGCCGAGCTTAGTACGGAGGATGGTGAACTGTGGCGCTGCGATTGCCTTGGTCATGATGTCAGCGAGCATATCTTGCGTTGGACAATACTGTAGCACGACTTGATTCTTTTCGACCTTTTCTCGCACGAAGTGGTAGCGAATGTCGATGTGCTTAGTGCGTTTGTGGAACTCTGGGTTCTTGGCCAACGCAATAGCACCTTGATTGTCTTCATAGATAGTTAGAGCGTCATCACCTGCTTCTTCACCGAGCTCACGCATGAGCGTCTTGAGCCACGTCGCTTCTAGGGTCGCCTCCGACAGTGCCATGTACTCTGCTTCGGTAGACGAGAGCGCCACGCTGCGCTGTTTCTTGCTACGCCAGCTGATGCAGCCGTTGTTAAGCACAAATACGTAGCCGCTGGTACTTCGTCTAGTATCAGTATCTCCAGCCCAGTCGGCATCGGAATAGCCAAGCAACTTGCCATTGCCAGCGCCAATAAAACGAATACCAAGTGTAGGAGTCGATTGCAGGTACCGTAGCACGCGCTTGAGTGCTTGCCAGTGTGTCGGACACGGGTCAGCAGCAAACTGGCTGAGCACTCCCACTGAAGCTGCGAGGTCTGGACGCGTGCCTACCATGAGGTACATCGAGGCTCCGACGGCACTTCGGTATGGCACTCCTTGCATGGTGTAGTTGTGCTTGCATCCATCTTTACACATACGCTTAGTCAACTTCAGTCCGGGGTCTTGCGGTGTCTTAACAGGCTTAGAGTCTTGCATACCGAACTTGGTCAGAATCGATCGCAAGAACTTAGTCTGTTTCATCGATACATCGCCTGACTTGTCATCTCGCTCGACTTCTATTCCGAGGCAGTACTTAAGCTCACCGAGATCGGACATCTCGAATCGCTCGCTCAATGCACGTTTGGTGGCTGCGAGGATGTCCATGTTGTTGCACGCAAGGATGAGGTCGTCGACGTATATGACAACAAAATCATGACCTTGTCGTCACGCTTGGCGTAGACACAGTGATCCATCTCGCACTTGGTGAAGCCAATATTGCGCATGAACTCATCAATAGTCTGGTTCCACATTCGAGGGGATTGCTTGAGTCCGTACAACGCACGCTTGATCTTGCACAAGGGAGGATGATTGGCATCAACGAATCCGTCAGGCTGCTTCATGTAGATCTCTTCTTCAAGCATACCGTTGAGAAACGCCGTCTTGACGTCCATCTGGTGAAGTACGAGGTTGTGCTGCGCGGCGAGGCGAGGCTCACAATGATCCGGATCGACGCGAACTTGGCCACTGGTGCGAACGTCTCCTCGAAGTCCACACCGTACTTTTGCAAAAATCCTTTTGCCACGAGGCGCGCTTTGTATCGCTCGATGAGTCCATCAACAGTCTCCTTCACCTTGAACACCCACTTGCTGCTGATCGCCTTGCGATCACTTGGTAACGGCACGAGTTCCCACGTGTTGTTCTTGCACAATGACTGAAACTCTGATTCGCACGCTTCTCGCCACTGTCTTGCGTCGCTGGATTCCATAGCCGATGAGAATGTCATCGGCGCTTCTCCCACTGAATCCACGACGTTAGCACAGTCTTCTTCATTTTCTTCGTCTTCTGCTTCATCAATAGATGCGAGAAGCGCCGACATGGCTTCGAGTGGTGACGCAGTACCTTGCACAGACGATGTGTGCACACCACTTGTACTAGCCCCGCGTCCATAGCGTTTTTCCATTGGCGGCTCTGACAAAGCTTCTAGTGACTGTGTGCGTACATGTCTTTTCGACCCCGGTAGAAACTCGGCTGTCTGATGCTGCGGATACTGCGGTTGATGACTTGAACGCTGCATTTGTTGCCATTGTGGCCGCTCATGGATCGATGCTGATTCGGGCATATGCACATCCATGTCTTCATTGGCAACCCCGTTGTCACGATCGTTGAAGCCTTCATCAGTGTTATGATACTCGATAGGGTCGATGCCACTTTGTTGCATGCACTTCCCGCTGTCGAACATGTCTTCCATGAATTGGGCGTCGCGACTCACTAGAATGCGACTGCTTGATATCTCTTCAAACCGGTACGCCTTTTCGTGGTCTGAGTAGCCCAAGAAGCGACACAACGTCGATCGCGCATCAAGCTTCGACCCCTTCTCTTTCGGCACATGCACATATGCGTGACATCCAAAGACTTTCAGGTTTTTCAACAACGGCTTCGTCTTCGTCCATACCTCGTGCGGGGACTTTTCATGGCCAATTGCTTGCGTCGGACTTCGATTGCGTAGGAACGCTGCCGTTGACACTACTTCACCCCAGTAGCGCTTGCTTAGTCCCGCATGCTCAATCATGCATCTAGCACTCTCGACTAGAGTTCTGTTCATTCGCTCCGCCACTCCGTTGAGTTGTGGGGTGTACGGCGGTGTAAATTGCTGTATGATGCCTTTGTTGCGACAGAACGCGGCGAACTTGTTGGAAACATATTCTCCAGCGTTATCGCTGCGGAGCATCTTGATGCGACGACCGGTCTGAGTCTCGGCAAACTTGGTGAACTGCATGAATCTGTCTAACACTTCAGACTTGCTGTGAATTAGGTACACAGTACAAAACCGCGACTTGTCATCGATGAACGTCACAAAATAGCGCTTGTTGGAAAATGTCGAAGTCTGCATTGGTCCACATACATCGGAATGCACGACGTCAAGCAGGTTCCTTGGCTGGTTTACGTGTAGTTGACTGAAAACTCACTTGTGTCTGCTTTCCGAGCGCGCATCCGTTGCAAAGCTCCCACTTGACCACAGATGTAATGTCGATGCCGACACCGAGGTTCTGCTTCACGATCGCGTCGAGTCCACCATGGCCAATGTGACCAAGACGCAGATGCCACAAGTATGACTTGCTCATCTGAGGCTTGTTGTATACACTTGCGATGCTCGCGCTCTCGACTTGCACAGGTGTCATGCATAGTCTAAAGAGACCTTTGCCGGCACGCTCGCCGATCTTCCACTTCTGGTTCTTGAAATTTGCATAACAGGTGCTCGTATCAAACGTCACTGCCGCGACATCCTTGGTAAATCGGCCAACTGAGAACAGATTGCGTGAAAGCTTTGGAATGTGCCACACATTCGTAAGCACACCCTTCTTGGCACCACTTGGTGTCTTCATCATCATCACTACGTTGCCGGTCCCAATCGCCTGCACGACCCCGTCGTCTGCGAGATGAACGTTAACTGGATCGATGGTCTTGTAGTTTGTCATAAACCGCTTTGAGAATGACATGTGCTGCGTCGCACCAGAGTCTATGAGCCATGCTGGATTCTTGACGCTGTCGTCGTCGTTGCTCTCCAGTCCAGCTGCAAACAGGAAATCGTCCAATTTTTCATCTTGGTTGTGCGCCACATTCGCACGCTGCGGACCCTGCGGTCCGCGTTGTCATGGATCCGTGAGGTACACTCCGCGATCCAATGACCCATCTTACCGCAGTAGTTGCACGCGCCAGTCTTCTTGAATGGCCGTCCACTGCTTCTTCTCACCTGTCATGAACGCTTGACCTGCAGCGACCTCGTCACTGCCTTGCTCCTTGCGCTTCATGTCTTCATGTAGCAGCCTGGATGTCACCAGTTCCCACGATAGCGAGTCGGCCCTTGACTCCAAA